TGCACTGTGGACATGGGCTATGTGTGTCTTGAGAAATCATGAAGCAGGTTACTGTCCAGTAGCTCCATGCTTCCTGAGAGAAAAAGTTAATTTCTTACGTGTCATATTTTATAGATTTGAGGTCTGGGCTGAGAATCTTGGAATTTCATCAGTTGAACAGTAACTATATATAACATACTGTTTTTCATTTTTATGAAATCCTGTAGGAAAATTTCTAAATAAATCTCAGTGTCTATTAACTGGGATATGGAGGCTGAAAGAAGTGATACTAATTGTAATAAAACTAATTGTAAAAGAAATATGAAGGTTTTAAAAAGCCCAAGAAACAAAAGTAAATGCCATCAAAGGCTCCATTTGGCATTGTAGTCAATATTTACATGGTTGGAAAATATAAGTAGTTTATGGGTGTGGAAATTTCAGTTAGAAGTGCAAAGTCATAATCCACATGTACAGCATTAAAGTAGAAGTGATAAGTTAGAAAGTGGAAGAGAAGGAAGGGACTTGTTACTTTCATTATAAACGGTTTAAAGTTCTCTGAACTATAAATGGAAATAAATATACTACATGGAATTACAAAGGAAGCTGGGCATGGTGGCACACCTCAGTAATCCCAGTGACTCAGTGGTCTAAGGCAGGAGAATAGCAAGTTCAAAGCTAGCCTCAGCAAATTAGCAAGGCGCTAGGTCTTGACACACCCTGTCTCAAATAAATAAATAGATAGATAGGTAGATAGATAGATAGATAGATAGATAGATAGATAGATAAATGGACTGGGGATGTGGCTGAGTGGTTAAGTGCCCCTGGGTTCATTCCCAGGTACCAAAAAAGAAAAAAAAAATTACAAAGGAGCGTAGGGAAGAATTAATACCAGAGACACAATTATAGCATGAAAAAGGAAGATCTGAGAGACTACATGTGGCCAAATCCCAATTTTTGACAAAAAGTCAATGAATGATGCCTGTCATAAATCTGTATAAGAAACAGACACAGAAGAATATTGGGTCAGACTGATCAATCTGAGAATGGACGATAGTTAGAAACACACATTAGATCATTTTTTAATACCGTGTGATGCATTACTTTCATATATTTCTCAATTATGCAGAAAATTACAAAGTAAAAGTATAACAGAATTTTAAATGGTAATTGTTTTATGGTCCCTTTGGCTCTGAGGGGCTGTACTTTCGATCTTATGTTTAAGAAAGAAATTTATTTTCATCTCTCCTTTTAAATTTCTATTTAACAGTGACTATTGAATGTATCAAGTAATCTTTTGCACATGCTTTGTGACTACAATGGAAACATTGCTATTCTTTCTTTTCTTTTCTTCTTAACTTTTCCAGTTTGTGTACAACTTCAAGCATCTGGTTTGTTTCATTTTCCAGCTACCACTAGGTGTCATCTTCAAAAAAGTAGTTTGTATTGTTAGTTTTTCATATCACACACGGAAATGAGACTTCCATTTATTTTTGCAAGTTCTGTGAGGTTTGAAGGAAACAGGAAGAAATAGCACCCTGTTTTTATAAGTATTTTATAAGTATTTTATTCTAACAAAGATTTCTACCTCAATTCCAAATTAGTGGGCATTGTCCAGTGCCTCTTTTCTTAGAATACATACTTTTTGACCATTCCCCTTGACACTTTAGGTTCTGCTTATTACGTTTTCTGGTTGTGCTCTCAGGTACTCATGATAATTATCAGTACTCTAAACTTGATCAGCTTCTGTGGCCCAACTGCTTTCCCATGCTACTTCCAGTTTCTGACTCTTTTCTCCTCATCTGACACAGTGTCCCTTAGTGCTCCCTTAGTCATTGATGACGTACATATTTCCTCCTCTGAGTGCCTGACCTACATATAAGCATGAGAATGTGCCATGAGCATTTTATACTTAACTTGCCAAAAACTGAATTTATTTTTTTCCTACTCTGACTACAATGTGCTTCCTGATGTCCTAAGATAACACTATACATGGCATGTATCAGTGATTTGAAATTTCAGTATATGGAGGGCCTGTTAGGACACAGACTGCTGTGTCCCAAATGTAAAGTTTCTGATTCAGTGGGTCTGGGTTGGAGACTATGAAGGACTGTGCATTTCTAACAAGTTCCAGATGGAACTGGTGGCTTGACAACTGTTTAAAAACCATTATCACACAGAAATCATTTCATATTTGTTAGATCAATAATTACTATGCATTAACAAATGGTTAAAATAAGTAATATATACTCAAAAGTCAAATCTAGCATAAGAAATTTTCACAGAAGTTTGCAACTTTGATCTGAAAGAACAAGGAAGATCATTGGATCTAACACCCTCTCATTATAGGTTAGTAAACCAGGTGTAGAAGTGAAATGACTTATGTGAGGAAAAATAACTAGACCCAATTAACCCTGTTTTTCTATAAAAATAAAATAGTTTATATTTAGCTAGTCAAGGATTATGTTTCCAATTCCAGAGATGAATGTTGAATAGATTATATTTTCCCTATATGAGTGAGCCTCCAAATGAATAAAAAAACTACTAAGTTTTAGTCCGCCTCTCCATATTCTTGAGATGCATGGTAAAGGAAGGAAGAAATGTAAAACATAATATATCAGTTAAATTTACAGATTTTACTATTCCAAGCAGTTGGGCAAAGCAGTGTGTTGTGGAAAGGAAGCAGAGATTTTTGTATTTGCTACCAAAGAAAGGCGAATCCTTTGTTAGGACTGAAACACGTACAAGGAGGTATACCAGTGAATATCAGAATTTTTGCAGTTCTGAAATCTTAAGCTGTTTTGTTGTTTTCCCAAGATTAGATATTTGCAGGAGTCACCAGACTCCACAGAGTATACTCCCAAGACATGTTTATTTAAAGTCAAAGAACAAAATGGAGCAAGAGAAAGCTAATAGAGATAAGCATTCAGGTCCAAGAGTCTTCAGTTTCCTGTGGGCCCAATCTTGGGGCAACAGGAATATGCTGTCTGAGTCTCTCTCATGAGCAGCTAAGGTCTCTGCAAATAATCTTGGCTCAGCTATGTTCTCTGCAAAGAGATCCCAAATGTGGCTCACTGTAGATCTTCAGTTAAGACAATCTAAGCAAGCCTCGTGAACTAGTTTCAAATTATTAGTGCAGAAGCAAACCTTGAGGGTCTCCAGTAGAGTTTCAGACTCTAAACATGTGTTACATATCCCACTGACATCCTTTTTGGCCAAGCGTACATTTATGGAAATATCTATGTATCCAATACATAGATATTTCCATAAATAAAGACAGAGCCTTTATAATACAGTTACATATCAACTTTATCTTGTATTGCAGGCTTGTAGATAAAGTCACTGAAACTATTTTATATGGAACAGCTGCATGAGAAGCTAGGCAGACAAAATCCCAAGTTCTAGAAGTAGGCTACCAAAGCTAGATAGATGTATGTCTTATGAGCTCTCCAGGGAAAATGAATGCATTTTTTTCAAGTATTTACTAGAAACCACTTATATACAATGGCAGTGATGCTTTGGTGACTAAATTCAAATTGCCATATTATAATCTAGTTGCTTCTAAGAGATACATTAGATTTCCAGCTTTAAATACTAAGGCAACTGTATGGTTACCAAATCAAGTCTTGTGATAAAGTGATATTTTCTTTGTGGGTTCTATTCTCCAAAAAGGAATTTTCAAACAATATGTTTTTTAAATGAAAGAAAAATTTGTAGGAAGAAATTGAAGAAATATAATATAGTATGTTGAGTTTTGTCATTTCCCAGTTACCAATTACCAATTACCATAATCATGGACAAAGGATCAAGAGACCTAGGTCTTTTAGCCAAAACTCTGTTATCAAGAAAAGATCTTAGATATTTTTCCATATAAAATATATTAATTGTGTTCTATTTATAGGAATACTCATTACAGTATCTTCATCCAGTTTTATTACAGACTTTTAAATTTTTCCTCCATTCTATCATTAGTAATTTTTAGGTTTACATTCCTTGTTTTCAAAGTGTGGCCTTATGACTGTCTACGGTAGAAAGACCTAGGGAATATTTCTCAAACTTTAATGTGTATATGATCAACCTGGGGATTTTTTAAAGATTTAGATTCTGATTATGTATGTCTGGGGTAAGGCCTGAAATTCTTCTCTTCATTTAAGCTCATAGGTAATACCCATTCTTCTATGATCCTGTGTGTTTAGCAAAGATGTTACTTTTTAAAAGATTGTGTACGTGCCTGTGTGTATAAATATGAACAGGTCGGTCCGCCACTGATCTCAGTTTCTGAGTTTAGGCCTGAAGATTTGCCTTCCCCCAAAGAAACCTTTCCCCGAGTCATATAAACTATCAACTTTAAGAACTAATTGCTTGAATAAAATATCTAAATTAACCTTCAGTTATAAAATAATGCAGAGCTACTCTCATCCTGACACTCCCTTAAACTCTAAATTGGAAGCCTTATATATCCTGTTTCTTAATTTTGAGCACTTTATTGGGCATCTTTAGTTGCTTAAGCATCTATGACTTTCAAACAACTGCCAAGCCCTCTGCCTTTAGATTCAAAATTTAATTAGGGTCAGATATTTTGTTGGAAGGTTTAAAATAAAATCTTTTGTACTTTTCAAAGTTACAAGATTCTTTTTCCTTCAACTGAAGAATGAAGCAGCAATATTATATTTCTTTTAGTACTCAGCTAGAAAAAAAGCAGCATCCTGTTTTACTTATTTTTTTCTTCTTGTCCCTTCACTGGTCTTTTTGTCCTCACACTCTCAAATTCACTCTAAAGTCCTTTCATGCCTCTTTTTCACATTTCAGCACTCTATTCTGCTACCTAAATAAAATGCCTGACACAGTATGTGACACCAAGTAGGCACATAAGAACCTAGTACATGAGTTCCCTGCTCTTAACGGAGTTCTTCCTTTTGTCATCAGTTATTAAAATGTTTTTCAATATAGCACAAGAAAGCAATGTGATGATTTCTCTCACAGCCTGACAATGTGTTCTGATTTTCTTCTTCCTTGCTTTGCAGTATAAGCAAGTGGAACAATACATGTCCTTCCATAAATTACCAGCAGATATGCGTCAGAAGATACATGATTACTATGAACACAGATACCAAGGCAAAATCTTTGATGAAGAAAATATTCTCAATGAACTTAATGATCCTCTGAGAGAGGTAAGATTTATTGTTCTCGATCTTTGTGATGTATTGTCATTGTTTATTTCTTCTTTTCTTTGGAAATCCTCTGGTTTATGTTATAACACCACTCAAAATAAAAACCGGAACTAAATGCTAAGACTTTTTTTTTACCTTAATTTTCATTTATTTTTCTCTCATTCAAAAGCCAAAAAGAAAAACAAAACTTTCAATTTTTAACAAAAAAGTACCTGAAAATGATTTTTCTAACTATGATTCTCTGAGTATTTTGTCTGTCTTCCTGGATCCCCCAATTTTTTTCATATGGCTTCATTGTCTGTGCCTTCCCAATCTCATGCTTACAAAAACTTTTCATATATCTTAAATTTTTGTTTTGTTTTGGTTTGGTTTCTACTCTTCCCATCTTCATTTTCTCTCATCATCTTGTAGACACTGATCAACAGCTGCTGACCTTATGGAATCGATATATTTCTTTCTTTCTTTTCTTTTTCTTTTTTTGAAGAATTTCTTTTATTTTTTCCCCTAGTTGTTAATGGACCTTTATTTTATTTATTTATTTTGTTGTGCTGAGGATTGAACCCAGTGCCTCATACATGCTAGGCAAGCACTCTACCACTGAGCCACAGCCCCAGTCTTGAAAGCAATCTATTTCTTATAACCTAGTTAAAATACTTCACAACATCATTAGCCACTTCTTGTCATATTACTTTCCTCCCATCCATCTTGGGAATCCTTCCTTCTGTCCGCAGCACATGCAGATCACTACAAGACTGAAGGAGAATGCAGCAGGCTATACTTCTTACACTGCTCTCTGCTTTCTTTTATTACCAAATTTCTCTATAATTTCCACATAATTGCTGCATTGTGATTGGTGTTTACATCTTTGCTTTGAAAGTTATCCATGACCTGTTGTTCACCAATGCTTTGTCTTTGAGCCATTGGTAGCACTTTTTATGGAGCTATTAAAGCACACATGCTGAATCTCTTTTTTGGGCTTTTTACATTGAACCATTAACTGAGCTGTTGGCATTTCATTTTCTGTCTCTGAATTTGTTCACTTTAATTTATTTCATTACACACTTCAATTCTGTACATTTGAGCTCTAAGTTCTTGCCATAAACTCCATTTTCTTAAAAGCTTCATGGTATCCCCTGGCACCACATATATAATAAGCTGTGTAATGAAGTCATTATCTTCCATCACTAAAGCATTTATCTTTTAAAATCTCTCTGTAACTTTTTTAGTCATTCTCTCAAGTTATTTGGAATGTAAAAACTTTAGTCCTATTTTGAATCTTTTCCTTCTGTGCTCTGTACATCTAGTTACCCATTGACGTTGGTAATGCATCTCACATCTGTGCCTTGCTTCCTGCTTCACCGAAATGGAACTAACCTTATTCCTCTCACGTGGACTATTTGTCTTCCAGACCTTAGTCTGTTTTCTCCAACTACTGTTTAAGACATCACTGTTAGAATAATCTCTTATGTACATGGGCTGGTCGTTTCTTTGCTCAGAAACTTTCAGTCTTTGCATTACAAATTAAGTCAAATACAGAGTCTGTAGGCTCATATTCCAGTCCTTCTGAACTCTGACTACAGTTGAATTTCCAGCTTTCTTTCTGTTGTTGCCCTGTGTGTTATAAAGTGGCTTGAGTAGCTTGTAGCCAAAATGAGCAATTTGTTGTTTTGCAAAAATCAATTATAATTTTTCACCTTTAAGTCAAATGTTTTCCATAAATGTTTCTTATCTGTTGGTAAAATCTAGTTCAAATATTATCACCTTCTTTCTGCCTTCTTTCATCAGACTTCAGCCTGGATGTAACCGTTCTTTTCTCTCGAGTCCCAGGCACTTACTCTATAACCTTTGTGTGCTACATATCCATTCTACTTCCTTTATCATTGGTGTTTCACCTTTGTTTTCTCCATCTTTGTCTTGAAATTTCCTTAAAAACAAGGACCATTGGTCAATAATTTTTAAGTTTCTTAAAATTTCTGGCACATTTAGCATAAATTAAATAATTCAAATATTTTTATCCCAAGTGATATCTTTGTGCTTTTTAACCATTCTAAATTTTCTACATCCACTAAAAGTTATTTGTACTTTTAAAACAAAACTGTAAAAATATTAGTTAAGGACTTTGGAAATAAAGGTAGCTAAATATCTGCTACTGATACTGATGTAAAATTATTTTAAGTTTTATTTTTGTGGTACTAGGGAACAAAATCAGAATTTTATGCCTGCAGGGCACATACTTTACCATTAAGCCATGTCCCCAATCCTTTTTATTTATTTTATTTTTCAACAGAGTCTGGCTATGTTTCCCAGGCTGGTTCAAGCTGGGACCTTCCTGCTTCAGCCTGCAAGGTCACTGGGATTATAGACTTGAGCCATTATGCCCAGTTGTTGTTGATATTTTTGTGGCTGAATTTACCATTCTGTCCTCAAATTAGAACATACAAATCTTTTTTTTTTTTTTTTTTTTGCTTTGTAGAATGTAATTTAAAATTTTCTGTATTTTTTATAAAAGAAAGCAATATTTATTTATTTTTTTTAAAAACTACCAGTATGGTTTGCTTTATCTCTTTGCTATTATACAGATTATTATTATTATTTTTCAATCTAAACCTTCTTCTCTAAAAGGAAGAAGCTTGGAACACTGAAATCAGGTTGTGTTCACTGAGAGTTCACATGTAGAGTAGGGCAAGTCATTCACAGAGATAAAGTAATTCAAGAGACAATATTAGAGATAAAGAAGATGTGATAAAACAAAGGCTCCATTCCAAAGAGGCAGGGAAAAGTGAGGATTCTAGCATCAAATCTCATGAGGAAAAGCAGAAACCTGACAGAACAAGTGCAAAAAGGATCCCTAGGAAATTACCCCTTTAAATGTGAAATAGTCGTCTGTGATAAAAGAAAAAAATTCTCAGTGTAATATAAAATGAAGATAATGGGAAACTTTTCTCTACCATGTATATTATTCTTTCTCTTGCCACACTATAATTTATACTGATTGTGAGTGAAAATTAATCCATTTTTCAGTTTTACCTGCAACCACACAGAAACCTACCATTTTGTTAATTCCTGCAACTATTTAATTGCTTTATTATCAATCTTTTTATTTATTCAAATATTGTAGTTTAGGGTCTCAGCACCTTTTATCTCAGCTTCTGAAGTTCATTAATGACTTTTCTCTTTGGCTTTAATCTCAACCAGCTCAAATGCATTCCATTACAGGGCTACCATATTTGTTGGTATAAGCCCCAAATGTGATATCACTCTCTTCTTGGGGCTGATTATGACCTCCAATGCCCTATGTCCATGCTCCTTAACAAGGCTCATGAGACCCTTCTTGCTGGCCTCCAGCTTCATTTCTTCACATTCATGCTTCATCAACCAGTAACTGATAATTTTTGATGAGTTTTGTTGATAATTTCCTAAAAAAAAAAATGCTGATTCTTCTTTGTCTTTCTCCATTCTACTTCTCTACCCTCAATCCTCCTACTTTCCATTAAGCACTCTTGTCAGGCATTGTCCTCTTCCTAAATTTCCTCTAACACTCCATCTCTGTCATCGTATTTATTACTAGTCAGTTTGTTGTCTCTTTCAGGACTATGAGCTTCTTGAGGATGGAACCTGTGTTTCATACCCTTGTATCTCTAGTGACCAGCATGTACTAAGACTTCATGAGATAATAACTTAGTGAGTATGCAACAGAATTATGAATGGAAGCCAGGGTGAGAATAAAATTAGGGCTCCTAAAAATGAAAGTATGCAGTGCTCAGATATTTATCACCTGGAAAGGGGAAAACAGTGTGTCTCTACTTACTCTCTTGCCCTTAGCTTTTGCTGCTCTGGCATCAGAATCACACAAAAGTCAATATTTAATATTGTACGGAGCTGAGTATTAGAAAAGGGAAAACACAAGTAAAATAGAAAGGTGGGGAAACACAAACCATGGTAAAGAGATAAGGAAAGTCATTATTAAATGAAGCTTGAGTCTAAAAAAAATCCAGACATGTTTTTATAAGAAATGTTGAATAAGAACAATGGGACATATATCTATCAAATCAGCATACTATGGACCTGCTATAGTCAAGTCATAGTGTTAGATCAGGAGAAATAGATAAGAAATCATAAAGCACATCATCCTGTCTTTTCTAAGTTGCATTTCATTTAGGAGAAGAAGTGTAAGCTTGTATTAAAGTGGGTTTCTGTAACTGTGGTTCCCCTGGTGCTCTAGAAAGTGTCTGCCACATACATAGAAGACATTGAACACCAGAACAACACATGTCCAGTAGGTGAACCATAGCTCTCAGAAAGGGAAAGCAGCATTACTTGGTAAGTATTTCATGATAAAAGATAAAAAATAAGATGTTCATTGTACATGAATACATACATGTCACAAAGAACTGCTAATCATACATTTGATTTGGAGGCAATAGCTATTTGAAATATTATAATTAGACTTTAAACGTATTAAGGCTCATTTTTATGAATGTATTTTAAATAATTTGAGATGCTAGAATATAGCTACAAGCAATGATTTCAGCTTACAGAAATATAGGAACTCAGGAACTTATAAAAATGAAGGATACATTATACTTTCAGACCCTCAAATACCCAAACACATATCCTATTGCTTAAAAATAGAAAAAAGTAAAATGTAATGGGAAAGAAAGTGAAAATTTTTCTTTATTCCTAATCAATTTAGGCTATATTAAATTTTATTCATCTTATATACCAGTCTTTGTTTTAAATGTTGGAATACTTTTTTTAAAAAAATCCCTAAGATAAAAAGTGGTGATAAGGATTTCTCTTGCCTAAACTTTGAAAACTCTCAGAAAAAAAAATCTCACATAAAATTAGTTCAGTTAGTTGCTATTTTGAAAATACTGTATTGAAATAAATTCTCCTATTCATTTCTGTGGCAGAAATTAGGTGATTTATCTTTGTCATTCATTATAGACAAATTGCTAAAACAACTTTAACAAATAACTTGGTCATTCTTATTGTTCAAG